CAAAAATACCTTGGGGTAACTCTAACCAAACATGTGAAAGACTTGCATAATAAAAACCTTAAGACACTGAAGAAGATATCAGAAGATGGAAAGATCTCCCATGCTCATTGGTAGGATTAACATAGTAAAAATAGCCAGTCTACCAAAAGGATCTACAAGTTCAATGCAATCCTCATCAAAATACCAACACAATTCTTCACAGAACTTGAATGGACTTGAATTGAATTTTTAGCTTTATATGGAAATACAAAACAACAACAACAACAGGATACCTAAAACACTCCTGAACAATAAAAGAATTGCTGGAGGTATCACCATCCCCAATCTCAAATTGTACTACTGAGCTATAGTAATAAAAAAAAAGCATGGTATTGGCATAAAAGCAGACACATTGATCACTGTGTTTGAAGACCCAGACATAAATCTATACACCTATACACACCTAATTTTTGATAGAGAAGTCGGAAAGCAAAAGACAACATCTTCAACCAAATGGTGCTGGTCAAACTGGACGTATTCATGTAGAAGAATGCAAATAGATCCATACTTATCACTCTGCACAAAACTCAAATCTAAATGAATCAAAGACCTCAACAAAGGAGATTCACCGAATTGACAGAAGAGAGAGTGGGGAACAGCCTTGAACTCATTGGAACAGGAGATGACTTTCTGCACAGAACACTTGTAGCACAGGCATTAAGGACAATTAATAAATGGGACCTCATGAACCTGAAAAGACTTAGGACACTGTCATTCAGACAGAGGGGCAGGCCACAGAATAAGAAAAGGTTTTTACCAGCTACACATCTGATGGAGGGCTAATATACAAAATATATAAAGAACTCAAAGAACTGGACATTAAAAAAGCAAATAACCCAATTTAAAAATAAGATACAGATCTAAACAGAGAATACTCTAAAGAGGAAACAGAAATTAGTAAGAAGCACTTAAAGAAACATTCAACATCTTTAGCCATCAGGAAAATGCAAATCTAAACTACTTTGAGATTCTATCTTACACCTGTCAGAATGGTCAGTATTTGTTGTTGGTTATTTTTTTACTCTTTTTGGGGGACCCACCATTCAGCTCCCAAATAAATCACTCACCGAGGGCTTATTCTTAATTATGAATTCCCAGCCTTAGCTTGGCTTAGTTTCTAGCCAGATTTACTTAACTTATCCCATCTACCTTTTGCCTCTGGGCTTTTCCCATTCTCTTACTTCTGTAAATCTTATTCTTACTCCATGGCTTACTGGTTGTGTAGCTGGGTGGCTGGCCCCTGGAGCCCTCATCCTTCTCTGGCTACTTCATCCTATATCTCCAATCCCTCTTCCCAGATTTCTCCTTCTATTTATTCTCCCTCCCTGCCAGCCCCACCTATCCTTTCTCCTGCCTTGCTATTAGCCAGTTCTTTTATTAGACCATCAGGTATTTTAGACAGGCACAGTAACACAGGTTCAGAGAGTTAAACAAATGCAACATAAGCAAAAATAACATACCTTAAAATAATATTCTACTACAAAGATCAATAACACAAGTGACAGCTCATGCTGGTGAGGATATGGAGTAAGGGGAACACTCATCCATTGCTGATGGGAGTGCAAATTTATACAGCCACTATGGAAATCAGTGTGGCTGTTTCTTGGGAAGTTGGGAATATATCTACCTGAAGACACAGCTATACCATGCCTGGCCACATACCCAAAGGTTTCTACACCCTACTACAGAGACACTTGCTCAACCATGTTTGTTGCTGCTCTATTCATAATATCCAGAATTTGGAAACTGAATAGATGTCCACCAGTGGATGAATGGATAGAGAAAATGTGGTACATTTATACAATAGAATATTATTCAGCTGTTAAAAAATGAAATCATGGGGGCTGGAGAGATGGTTCAATGGTTAAGGGCACTGACTGCTCTTCCAGAGGACCCAGGTTCAATTCCCAGCACCCATATGGCAGCTCACAACTGTCTGTAACTCCAAGATCTGACAGCCTCACACAGACACATGTGCAGACAACACCAATGCACATAAAATAAAAATAAATTGTTTAAAAAAATGAAATCATGAAATTCACAGGTAAATTGATGTGACTAGAAAAAAAATCCTGAGTGAAGTAGCCCAGACCCCAAAAGACAAATATGGTATATATTTGCTTATGTGTAGATGTTAACTGTTAAGTCTTCCATAAGCAGGCTAAAATGTATATAACCAGAGAGATTAGATATAGAATAAGGGACTGGGGGAAAGATTGGATCACCCTAAGGAGGGAAAATAGAACAGACAGTTATGGATTGATGGGGGGGAGCTGGAATAAGGGGATCAAATGGGGAGGGGATAAAAGGATGGGGTGAGGGAGGGAATACAGGAAGGGAGAGATAAAACTAAGACCCATTTGAGGGTTTATATGAAAACCTAATATAGTAGAAGCTTCCTAAATGTATACATAGATGAAGGTGATCTAAATGGAATCTCCAAATAATGGAGGAGACAGACCCCCAACTGGACATCTTTTATCACCAAATGAAGCTTCCGGTTCTGGGAATAGGTTACACCTAATGTAGTTGTTGGCTAAAGGGGCCCCATGGGAGCTTCCCAAACAACCCAGGCTATTGGTTGTTCTCCACAAACTGGTGATAAGGTTCTATTGCTGAAGACAACACCTACACAACTCACTGAACATAGAGAAGTCAAGCTGATGCCTACCTGGAAGTTTCATCCCTACTGACTGGTGTTCATGGTCTGGAAGGTACTCTACCAAAGGAGAAACGTAAACACCAGCCCAGCTACAAAACCTTCATTCTACAATTGTGTGTTTCTTGTGGTTTTCCTTTGGCTCTTTTTCTGTTTGGTGTTTGTTTTGTCTTATTCAGGTTTATTTGTTTTTGTCTTCTTTTTTTTTGCATGCCTGTTTGCTAATGAAAGAGAGCAAAAAATACAGATTTGGAAGGGTGGGGAGATAGGAAAGAACTGGAAGGAGTTGGGGGAGGGGAAACATAATCAAAATATATTGTTTGAAAAACATGTATTTTCAATAAAATAAAGTCTGGGGTGGTTATGGTGGTATTTTATTTGTACTGAAATGTGATTTTAGTTGTATGTTAATAAATAAAGTTGCCCGGGGGTCAGAGCTATTAGAGCCATAGCAAAAGCTGGGCGGTGGTGGTGCACGCCTTTAATCCCAGCACTTGGTAGGCAGAGCTAGGTAGATCTCTGTGTGTTCAAGGATACAGCCAATAGACAGTGATGAGGCAGTCATGTGGTTGGTTTTACAACCAATGAGAAGGCAGAACAGAAAGTATATATAAAGACAAACAGACAGGAAGTAGGTCTCTTTGGGAGAGGTCTCTTGGCTGAAGAGGCTAGCTGCAGCAGGCGGGTAAGGCTCTTAGCTCTGATCTCTTGGCTTTTGTCTTTGCATTGGCTCTGTGTTTCTTATTTAATAAGATGGTTGGTTACATCTACAGGTGGTAAATCAAGAAAAGAAGTGGTGCTGTGTTTGGCGGCACATGACTTTACTCCCAGCACTCGGGAGGCAGAGCCAGGCAGATCTCTGTGAGTTCAAGGCCAGCCTGGTCTACAGTGTGAGTTCCAGGACAGACAGAGATATGTAGAGAGACCCTGTCTCAAAAAAAAAAGGGAGGAAGAGCCAATCTCCCATTTGCTCCAACTAAGAAGAGCTGTTCGAGACAGAGCAGAGAAGGAGGCTCCACGATGGCAGAATGTCAAAGCCAGAGGACAGACAGCGGACAGAGTTCCCAGGAAGGAACTCCTAACACAAGAAAGGCTAAGGGAGATTGCAGATTTTGTGCAGCTGGAGGATGGAGCCCTGCTAGTGTTGCCTGGTTCTTAAGAGGCAAGGAAGCCCATAGGAAGCAGGACTCACCTATCGGTTTCCTGCTTCAGTCTCCAGGCTGCACCCTCCTGAAAGCTTGCTCCCATATAAGCCTCTCTGCTCTCATAGCATCCTCCCAGCATCCCCCACAGCATCCCCCCAGCTTCTCCGCAGCTTCCCCCCAGCATCCCTACAGCATCCCCACAGTATTCCCACGGAATCCCCACAGCATCCTCACAGCATCCCCACAGCATCCTCACAGCATCCCCACAGCATCCCACATCCTCACAGCATCCCCACAGTATCCCCCACAGCATCCCCACAGCATCCTCACACCACCCCTGCATGCATGACACTATTAGACTGAGACCCACAGAATTTAGCCTATGTCAATTTGTAATCCTATGTAGGGAGAAGCTTTGAACATATATGCTTATACATGCATATTTATTTTATGCATGAATATTTCATTCTCCCTAACTTCTTTTCCAAGCAGATTGACAGCTTAAAAAATGGAGCTGGCACTTTGAGATCTTTGGCAACAGTTAACTCTGCAGCTCACACATGATTGAGCCTGTATGATAATGAGTATTCAGAGACTGGTAATGCCTGGGGGGTGCTCACCAACCTAAGACAGAGCGCCTGTGTGGCCTGGGCAGGCGTCTCCATGATGGGTAAGGTGACCTGCTGACATCCCATGCAACCTAAGTCAGAAGCTCATTTTCTAGTAAAAGGGGGACCAGTAGGGCCCTGGCCCCCATTTTGGGTAACTGTTGCCTTGCTTGCTGACCTTGACCTTGATATCCTCCCGATGCTAATTCCCTGCTGGGTTCCACCCTCCTGAAAGCTTAAGGGAAGTTCCTTGTCTGTGTATCCTGCATAATGGGCCTTAACAGTTTAGATGCAAGATTGTAAAACATCTGTAGCAAACTTCTGCCCTCTGGGGTTCTCCCATTGTGCTATAAGCCTGTTTTTAAGACCTCCTCCCTCCTTCAACAAACGGCATTCGGCAAAAATAAATAAATAAATAAATAAATAAATAAATAAATAAATAAATAAATAAATAAATAAATAAATAAAATAAAAATGGCGCTGGCATCAGCTCTTCTCTCACAGCTGTACTTTACCCACAAATTCTACTTTACCTGGCATCTGACATACCTATGAGGAAGAGAAATGCTACCACATCCAAAGGGTGTGAAGGTTCCCAGGATAATGGGCTCTGGCCAGTCACTGAATATGTTGGTGTACAGGCCACCCCAAGGAAGGTCAGCGTAGCTTTGGCAGATAGCTAGGCGGCCAGAAGGATAGATGAAATCCAGGTTAAGGAATGGACTGATCAAGCAACAGGAACGTTAACAGTTCTTCCAGACATATACATTCTATTTTATATTTATTAATATTCTGAGACAAAGTGTTGCTTTGTTTTGTTTTGGGTTTTTTTTTGGGGGGGGGTTGTTTGTTTTCGAGACAGAGTTTCTCTGTGTAACGACCCTGCCTGACCTAGAACTCTGAGCTCTGAACTTTGTAGACCAGGTTGGCCCAAACTCACAGAGATCCTCCTGCCTCGGCCTCCCAAATGGGGAGTCTAAAGAGAATGACTCTTTCCCATCATCAGAGAGCATTGTCGATGGTGGGGTGGACCAACACAGAAGCTTCCTGACTTCCAGGGGCATGTTCTCCCTTCTCCCCATGGGGTCACATTCCTGGGCTTCATTTTAGCTCCACATTCTTCTGAACCCATCTGTGGATTCTCACAGGGAGTCTGATCATACTGGTCCTGGTAATGGCAGTGTCTCTAGACACCAAGGTGGCTGGGTGCTACCTAGTGCCACCCAATGATAATGGTGCTGTCCCAGCAAAGAGTGGTGAGGGCAGGTCTCCCCATCAGCATCCATGGGCAGACCCAGGCCAGGCGGGGCTGAGGACTAACAACAGATCTGTGAGTCATTTTTGCAAAACTGGTCTGCACTAACCTCTACAAGATGGACGATGATGGAATCTTGAAGCCTTTTTTCATTTTGGGTTTGCAGGAACTGATTCCCCCAAATCCCTCTTTTCTAGAAAGCTTCTCTAACTGCTAAGTCCCCACAGGGTTCCCATTTCTTGGAGAAATGCCCTTGGGTGCTTAGCAAAAATATCAAAGGGTCTCTGAACATGAAGAAAGGTTTGGAAATTGGAGGCTTGTTTCCACTCTGTTTGGGGGCTCCTTTTCCCGACCCAGTGTGTCAGGATGTGAATGCTTGGGGGAAAGGAATTGAAGAAACACAGGCCTCTTCCCCCAGAGTTTCCTGCTGGCTGGAAAGCCCCAGCCATCGCCACCAACTGCCCAATACCGCCTCCTTCGCCCTCCTTTCCTCCGGGGACGCTCATGAGGATATTAGGTCAGAGACGAGCCATCTACCAGGGCATAGTGGAACTTCTTCATCTCTGGGTTCGCCTCTCCCATCGCTGGCATCTGAGCCTTCCCCACCAACAATGCCATCCAGAAAACCCGGGGTTCCTGGGTGGACTCTGCGGTCTCCTCCTCTTCTTCTGGGTCGTTGTAGTGGCGCAGGATCGGCTGTTTGTTGAATCCGTCTCTTTTTTGTTTGGCTTCTTCCATCTTTCTGTGCAAAAGAAAAGAACTCAAGATATGGCTGTTTTGTAGCATGAATCTTAAAAAGTTCTTATTAATAAGACAAACCCGGGACCAATTATTGGGGTGAACACTGGAAGGTCAGAGAGACAGAATAAGCCACAGCTAACCTCACTTGGCCAACTTCTCAGCTGGTCTTGTTTCCTCAGACTGGAAGCCTCTGTGTCCTCATCCAGAACGGGTCTCAGCTGAACTGCTGCTCAAAAGCCTGAACGCTTAACCAGCCAAATGCTTCTAGTTTCTGGTCCTCATGCCTTATATACCTTTCTGCTTTCTACTACCACTTCCTGGGATTAAAGGCTCGCTTTCTGGGATTAAAGGCGTGATGAGTCACCATGCTTGGCTGTATCCTTGAACACATGGATTTCTGCCTCTGGAATGCTAGGATTAAAGGCGTGTGATACCACTGCCTATCCTTTATGTTTAATATTGTGGCTGTTCTGTCTCTGACCCCAGATAAGTTTATTAGCATGCACAATATTTGGGGGAATACAATACCACACTGTTTTCCTGGTCTTATCTGCCTAATGACTCAGAGGCCTCTGTGGCCTCCTCCTGCGTGGTTAATGTAATCAGTTGCGTTTAAATTAGAAGAACAGGAGTTTGAAGTAGATTCAACCCAACCCTTAGCTAGGCCTTCACTGAGTGTTTTCCATTTTTAAAGATTTATTTATTTATTATGTACACAGTGTTCTGCCTGCATGTTTTGCCTGCAGGCTAGAAGAGGGCATCAGATCTCATTACAGATGGTTGGGAGCCACCATGTGGGTGCTGGGAATTGGACTCAGGACCTTTGGAAGAACAGCCAGTGCTCTTAACCGCTGAGCCATCTCTCCAGCCTGTTTTCCATTTTTAAACAGTTACTAAGTACCTCCCGTGGGTGAGCCCAGTGCCCGAGGCTATGAGAAAGGGAACCGCAACCAAATAGGCCCCGACCTCACAGGAATTAAGTTGAGAACTAATTCTTCCATGTGGCATTGGACATTTGAGACAAAATACTAACTCCCTCTGAGCCTTATATTCTTGACTTGTAAAATAGGGCTAAAAAGATCTCACAGATGGGCTGGAGAGGTGGCTCAGTGGTTAAGAGCACTGGCTGTCCTTCCAGAGGACCAGGGTTCAATTCCCAGCACCCACATGGCAGCTCACAACTGTCTGTAACTCCAGCTCCAGGGGATCTGGCACCCTCACATAGACATACAGACATGCAGGCAAAACACAAATTCACATGAAACAAAAATATGTCACAGAAATGTAAGTATTCTTTGTTCAATGCCTGCATGTGTGCACGCGCGCACACACACACACACATACACACATACACTTGCACTCCATAAACACTGCTTGTATTCATTACAGTTCTATAGGGGACATGAATGTGTTACTACTGAGCATGTGATGGTAAAGGAAGAGGGAGCTGAACAGAAAACCAACCAGTTTGGAGGTTTCAAACTAAGACAGGGAGGCAGGCTCTAGAACATCGCGTCAGTCACGTACAAGTATAAACCAGGCACCTTCTACTGGGCAAAACCAGCCTTCCCATCGGAAGAATACTGGTTATCACCATTCTAAAGACAGTGCCCACGTTACACAGCTACACATAAAGCTAGGGTTCGAGGCCACACCTTCAAGATCCACCAAATCAGCCGCTGGAAACAATCCTTCTACAAACCCAGGCCCTGCCTTTTGACCCCAACACATACAAACACACGGATGTGGGGAAACCCACATCCATGTGCATTCCCAAGCATGCCAAGTAAAGCCGCTGGCAAAACACCATCCGGAGAGGCCAGGAGCCAGGCCGGCAAGGATGAGGTCACACATCGGAGAGCCCTCTATGGCTCTCTTGCAGACCATCATTACCTATTTACCCAAGCATGGACTGGTGGTCTCTTCTCCATGGTCTCAGTGACCGGAAGTGCACTCCTCAGATACTTAGACAGAATAGAGGGATGAAATCGGGGAGGTCCCAGTACTTGAGAAGGATGGGAAGTACCAGGACTCTGATGAGGAGTGGAAAGCTTCTAGGAGATTTGGCATGTTAAAGTGGATAGAGAGAGCGCTAAAATAAAATGGATTTCAGAAACAGGGTGGGGGAAAAAAAATGTCAAAAACTGCCCTGGCAGCAAGTCCCTTCAGACAGGCACATCAGATCAGGAAGTCTGGTGCTGTCATGTTGAGATGCACTTGAAATCGAGAATGGAGATGACAGATGTCAACAAGGCTCTTGGGGTGTTTGGGAGAACTGGATTCTGTGTGTGTGTGCTCATGCATCAGGAGTGGGGTGGCCGCGGCCTGAGTGAATGAATGCACACATATTAATTGTGCAGGGAGGGGTTGGGAGTGTGAAAAGAGGTGTACTGAGAAGGGACGTATAAAAAGAATCGAGAGTGGGATTAGGGATGGCTCAGTGATTGAAACCCTGGCTGCTCTCCAGAGGACCCAAGTTTGATTCTCAGCCCCCAGGTGGTTACTAACAACCACCTGCAACTCCAGTTTCTGGGTATCTAACGCCCTCTTCTGGTCTCTGCAGGCACTGCATGCATGTGGTAACTGCAGGCAAAACACCCGTAACATATAACATTTTTTTTTTTAAAGGTTAAATTCAGGCGGATCTCTGTGAGTTCGAGTCCAGCCTGGTCTACAAAGTGAGATGCAGGACAGGCTCCAAAACTATACAGAGAAACCCTGTCTTAAAAAAAAAGAAAAGAAAAAGGTTAAATTTTTTTTTAAAGAAGGACCGAGTAAATAACTGAAAATAATGCAGCTGATTAACAAAAAGAGGAGGTGGTAGCCATGCCACTCTTGAAGAGTGCAGAGCCAGGGTCTCTCTCCGTGTTTTGTGTCTTCTCTTGCTTCCCTCTTCCTGCCTCTCCTTTCTTTCCTGTCTTCTCACAAATGAGAATCAAATAAGTTATTGAGATTTAGCCGAGTGACTTGGCCCGGCGATGTACAATCCCTGTCCACAGCACTGGAGATGAAGCTGGGCTTCGAGTCTGAGACTGCGGGTTCCTGTGACTTCTCAGAGTCCTGTGGACAATGGCTGAGGAGACAAACCATACGGGAAACAAGGAAAAAATAAATAAACCAAGTGGGTAGAATTAGTTAACAATGGGACGGAGGCAGGACCCTTATAGCTTGCCTCGCTGGAATTCACGCACACCACCTCCATTTATAATCGTTGCGGGTGAGGGGCAGAACGGCAGCTTAACGACACATATTTAGAAACCCGTCCAGAATCCTGAATCTAATTACCATTTCCCCAGACGGGACCCTGGCTCTTCCAATTGTTGCCTAGACATGGGTCTACTTTCCTTGATTTTCTGCAAGCGGACCTTTTGAACTGTGCTAAAAGAAAGCAAGCGCACCTCTCAAGTGTAAATCCCTTTCGTCACTGAGGAAAGCCTTCTCCCTCCTTCCCAAAGGGGCCAAAAATGAAGATACGAAAGTTCCTGTGTAAACATCTACAGGGTGGAAACTTCCGTATCTCTAAATGCCATGTTAGTCAAATACGGAGTGGGCGGTGGTATTCGGAAAAGCTCCCCATTAGCTTCTGAAAGCACTGCCCTCTCTTCTACCGCCCTTAACGGGTTCATAGACATAGCGTCCTTTTTTGTACAGACCAAGAGCCCCAGTGTAAGCAAGGATGATCTTTCTGTTGCTTTTCTCATGGCCTTGGTAGTGATCTCTGGTTTGAGGGGCAGAGCCTAATCCCTGGCTTCTCCAGCAGGTGAAAATTACCTCTAGGTTCCCGTAAAATCAGCCTAGGAATCCCGTACAAGCTAAGCAGTATAAGGTGATGGGCAGTCACTGAATGCAAGGACAGAAGTGTGCATTGAGAAAGGGTTGCCCACCTCACAGATGAGACTCTAAGTACAAAGAGAACAACCGCTGAACAGTATGTTCACCGGGTGGGGCGCTGGCCCCATCGGTAGAGGGCTGGAGCACTGGCCCCATCAGTGGAGGGCTGGAGCACTGGCCCCATCGGTAGAGGGCTGGGGCAATGGCCCCATCGGTAGAGGGCTGGAGCACTGGCCCCATCGGTAGAAGGCTGGAGCACTGGCCCCATCGGTGGAGGGCTGGAGCACTGGCCCCATCGGTAGAGGGCTGGAGCACTGGCCCCATCGGTAGAGGGCTGGAGCACTGGCCCCATCGGTGGAGGGCTGGAGCACTGGCCCCATCTGTAGGGAGCTGGAGCACTGGCCCCATCAGTGGAGGGCTGGAGCACTGGCCCCATCAGTAGAGGGCTGGAGCACTGGCCCCATCGGTAGAGGGCTGGATCACTGGCCCCATCGGTGGAGGGCTGGAGCACTGGCCCCATCGGTAGAGGGCTGGAGCACTGGCCCCATCGGTAGAGGGCTGGAGCACTGGCCCCATCAGTGGAGGGCTGGAGCACTGGCCCCATCGGTAGAGGGCTGGAGCACTGGCCCCATCTGTAGGGAGCTGGAGCACTGGCCCCATCGGTGGAGGGCTGGAGCACTGGCCCCATTTGTAGAGGGCTGGAGCACTGGCCCCATCAGTGGAGGGCTGGAGCACTGGCCCCATCAGTAGAGGGCTGGAACACTGGCCCCATTGGTGGAGGGCTGGAGCACTGGCCCCATCGGTAGAGGGCTGGAGCACTGGCCCCATCGGTGGAGGGCTGCAGCATTGGCCCCGTCAGTAGAGGGCTGGAGCACTGGTCCCATCTGTAGGGAGCTGGAGCACTGGCCCCATCGGTGGAGGGCTGGAGCACTGGCTCCATCTGTAGGGAGCTGGAGCACTGGCCCCATCGGTAGAGGGCTGGAGCACTGGCCTCATCGGTAGAGGGCTGGAGCACTGGACCCATCGGTAGAGGGCTGGAGCACTGGCCCCATCGGTGGAGGGCTGGAGCACTGGCCCCATCGGTAGAGGGCTGGAGCACTGGCCCCATCGGTGGAGGGCTGGAGCACTGGCCCCATCGGTGGAGGGCTGGAGCACTGGCCTCATCGGTAG